GCCGATGTATGTGCCGTCGCGGTACTTTGAAATAGCCGTGGTGTACGTTGCAGACGTATATACGGCGCATGCACATAAACGCGAAATGTTTAGTATTCCTCGCGCGGGGCCAAGCCCAGCTTTCAATTTGCTGGCTGGCAATTTGTTCGCCGGTTGCACCCCGCGGCAGCACAAATTCGCGGTGCACGCTCTGGATGTATACATTGCTGGAGCATCATGATGCGCGATGGACGGATTTATATATCCCTCTCTCTAGCAGCCTTTCACCGCTATTCAGAATGTTTTTCCGATTAGGAGACGTTCCGGAGGAGACTCGACAGAGGAGGGAACTCAAATCCGCGTTTCTACATCGACGGATGTAGATTTTTTTTTTTTTCCCGATAATGCGGATGTGAAATCCGCAAATCGAGATAAATACAAAATGGGAAAACGTGCGCGCAATGCAAATAGAAATAGCCCACGTAGTAAACCTAGAACACGTTGTGGGAGTTACGGCTCTTTTCGACGCTGTCGGAACCTATGATCTTTATAGAGCGGTAGGTAGGCGTCTACAAAGAATGCGGTAAAAGGAATACACAGGCAAGTAAATTTCAGTCACCCGCCGAACGTAAAATAAACGAAGGTGACGTTAGCACCGGTGTGCTACACCGCGTTCTTGCGTAAATACTTTAGCGTCAGCATAAAAAGATCATTTCACGCGTGAGTTCATCAAAGCCTGTTTATCTGGATAGGTTTTGGCGACCCTGGCACTGTCTATGGGAACTCTCTCCACCGGTTTGGCCAAGGGTTACACCTCGCCCGCGTTAGACTCCATATTGGATAATCAACCGCCTCATCTTTATCAATCATCCAACAACGACACGTGGTAAGAATTCGCAAGATTGACATAGCTAGATTATAGTACGTATAGTACGTAAGCGAAGAGAGACGTTCAAATGTTCCGCATGTTGTGCACGGACAAAAATTTATCATGTTACATAATATCGGATTTCAATTTGAAACGTTGGCAGAAACGTGGACAATTATATCCACTGCCTGTAGCTTATTCGAGCGTTACGTTCCTGGTTGCTAATTCCGGGATGCGTCTACCGCGACGACAACACGCGAACTCTACTGGGAAGCTGGTCACAAATAATACTCGACAGCCGGGACACGGCTGCCAAGAGCGATTACGTTTGCACCTGACGTCTGCCCCGGCACTCCGGGAACAATACCCAATATATCGAGACTACCTCGTGGACACGGCTGGATTACGCCCGACGTTTAGACAATATAATGCGCAATCCTAATTGCGCTTACGGTATGTCGGCAGGTCCGCTTTTTCGGTTACGCAACAGGAGGCCTCGTGGGTCGCGTCGCTGTCCATGCTGGGCGCGTGGTTCGGCGCCATGATCGGCGACTGGATAATGCGGAGAGGTCGTCGATTGGCACTACGCGTGACATCCTTACCCTTGGCGGCAGCCTGGGTCCTAACGGGCGTTGCACCATGCGTGGAGTTGGTGTACGTCACGAGCTTCATCGGCGGGCTTTGTTGCTCGGTCATCACTATGGTGGCTCAGGTAAAAAATAATAAAAGGAAACTCGATTGATTTTTTTTTTTTTTTTTAAGAAACTCGATCGGTGCATGAGCAAATTCCTCTCGGCAGGTGTACATATCGGAAATTTCGATGCCCGGCATTCGCGGGTGTTTGTCGGCGATGCTGAAGGTGCTGGGTCACGTTGGTGTCTTGCTGTCGTACATAGCCGGCACATATCTGAATTGGCGGCAAAGCGCGCTACTGGTGGCCGTCGCGCCGTCGATGCTCTTTTTGGGGACCCTCTTTATACCCGAGACACCGTCGTACCTCGTGCTGAACGGCAAAGATGACGAGGCCGCCAACAGTTTGCAGTGGCTGCGCGGAGAACACGTCGATATAAGACACGAGCTGCAGGTGATTTTCAAAACTTACGAAAGACGAGTAACTTTCAGAATGGAGCAACTTTCCTCTCGTGTCTCTCGCAAGTTTTCGACGAAAGATCAATCACGGATATCGGTCACGGTGCGATAATACATCAATATACATTCACGATGATTAACGATATGTCTCCAGGTCATCAAAACGAATATTCTGGCTTCGAGAGCTAAGCAGTACGAGCTGACTTTCAAGAACAGCGTGTTTACACCAAGACTCTACAAGCCCATCGCTATCACGTGCGGTCTCATGTTCTTCCAACGATTCTCCGGCGCGAATGCGTTTAATTACTACGCGGTACTCATCTTTCGTCAGACCCTAGGCGGAATGAATCCTCACGGAGCGACCATAGCGATTGGATTTGTACAGCTATTGGCCTCTTTACTGTCAGGTATTAAATTCCGTAAATTATTCTCTTTCTTACCAGCGACATCGCTCACACAGTCGTCGTGTTTAAGTGAGAAATCGTGTTGCAGGATTTTTGATCGACATAGTCGGTAGATTACCGCTTTTGATAGCCAGCACAGTTTTTATGTCACTGGCGCTCGCCGGCTTCGGCAGCTACGCGTATTACGTGTCACAAACGCAAAATTTGGGCTACGTCGACTCGGCCGTGGTGGGCCAACACGACTGGATACCGCTACTCTGCGTGCTCGTGTTCACGACCGCTCTCGCCCTGGGCATATCGCCAATTTCTTGGCTATTGATTGGCGAACTATTTCCGCTGGAGTACCGCGGCCTCGGCTCCAGCATTAGCACGAGCTTCAGCTACTTCTGCGCATTTTTCGGGATCAAGCTCTTTATGGATTTTCAGCAGGTGAATAGATTTTCATTTCCCATTTTCTCCTTAAAGTACGAGCGAGGATTATGAAGATTAAATTTAAAATTCGAGCTCAAGATTATAAAATTTTAAACGAAAAGATCAACAAAAATCAAGTATAAATATTACATTTTGAGTAATAATATTAATCGTTAGAATAATTCGTTAAGCTATGAAACTTTCCATCCAGTTAAATATTTCTCTTTATAATTAACCAATAATTAATTTCTGTAATCTTGTAGTAACTTAGTGCGATCTTATTTCAGAGTCTCGGTCTACACGGAGCCTTTTGGTTTTACGCTGCCGTGGCGGTCTGCGGACTCTGCTTCGTTGTCTGTTGCGTGCCTGAGACGAAGGGCAAGCAGCTGGACGAGATGAATCCGGATTATGCGCAAGCACGGTAGTATAAGGCCTCGCTGACGGGGGGTCTCTCGAACTTGGAGAAGGCGAACAAGCCTTTACCAGGAGGCGCTTATCCGAACGAGCATGATCCGCGGGATCTCTATCGCAGCGATCCGTCAATCGCGACCTCCAACATCACGATGTTGTCTGCGCGTGCCGCTCATCGCAAGTTCTCGAATTACTGCGGCATCTTTGCCGAGAAGACCAACAGGATCGGCAGGAATGTGGAGAGCTTCATGCAGTCTCGCGGTTTGCTGCCGATTCGTCGTTCAGTCGATGAAACGTCGCGTCGTGACGCGCCCGGAATTAACGGCGACGCGATCAGAAGCAACCCTCCGCCGCGAGCCGATCGTGAAACGAGCGAGGATCGTCGTCGCTATTACGAGCGACCGCGAAGAAACGGCGGTCAGAAGAAACGCGTGGCGTACTCCAACAGCACTTATCCTCGGGACCCGACGCGAGCCGACGCGAGTTATGTTCGTCGTTCCAACGAGACGGAGCCCCGTCGCGCCAGGAGGCGCGAGTACGCGGAAACGAATTACGATGCGGCCGATATCTGGAGGCGCGAGCTGAACCTCGCGAGGGGAGGTCTGTGTGTCTCCAAACCGATTCTGAGAAACGGCATCAATCACGGCGGAGACGAGAGGTCGTATTACTCGACCCTGCCGCGGCGCAGCAGGACCATCAACTTCAAGGATCAGGCATGCGACTCCGTGGAAGGAGGGCGGCGCGCGTATCCGAAGAGCCTGCAGGATCTAACGGATTTGAAACTCGACGACGTCACGTATCTCCCGTCCGCCCGCGCCAGGGATGGCACTCGAGAGGAGAGACTCGACGACAATTATCGTCGACGTAGTAGGTACCATCGAGAAGAGAGCGAAGCATCCTTCGAGGACGATTACCTTAAGCTCTATAGAAATCTGTCGAAATTAGACAAGTATCCGCGAGATGGTAGGTACGGGCCGGGCCAGGTACACTATGAAAGGGAATGCAGGACCTTCGGCAAGGACACGGTCGCCTTCATCTACTACAAGACGTGCTATTTATGATCTAAAGAGAAACACGATACGAACGAGCGGTCGGGAGTTCTCTCATCGATAGACCGTCCATCGATACGCATGACTCATGATCTTGCGCAGAAGCGCGCGAACGGCCAATGGACCGATTCAAATCTTTCGTTCTGGATGCATTTAACGAGCGGAAGCATTTTCTACTTGATAAATTGCCTTAGATTTTTGTGTTAAGTTGATAATCAAAAGGTTTATCAGCAGGAGATAAACTACAGAAATTCCCTTTCTCTCAAAGAGATTCATATCTTAATAATTACATATCCTTATCGAGACATAAAAAAAAAACATACGCGTACGGGAAAATCTGTACAAAAAAAAATGACCGAATAATCGAGTCATAAATTGCCTTCATGTCTGGCTTTAATAATTAAATCGTTTCTCGACTGATAATAAGGTTATGTCATCGATTTTAAATAGTTGACCCTTCTCGCTAAAAAAAAGCGATTTTTTTTCATTTACTTTCAGAAATCATCTTAAGCTAGAATGATTTTTTATTTTCTATACGAACAAATGATTATGCTCATTTTACATTATCTATTTATCCAATCTGATATCTCTTCGAGATATTTTAAAAGCTGCAAATGATAATTATAAAAAATGATCAAAAACAATATCAAGTAAATCTATATACTAGCCTCAAATTAAATCTATATAAAATCGTAACGAGTGTAAACTTTATACTTTCATGTTATCTACTTTATATTAGTTTTCGAAGATACGACTTCTTTTCAATAAATTCGATTATATTTTTTGTTAACAAATTTTTCATAATATTAGAAGTTTCATTCGCGCAGTAAAAGACAATATTCTCTATTTTCCAAGCAAGAAAGCATGGAAATATTTTACGTGAATAAAAAGATAAATAATTACGTATATCAGGAGTAAACGATATTGACAAAGTTCTTAGAATAGATTTGATAAACTGCTCGTAGACTGCCAAGTTAATCTTTCTGCGAAGTAGCCGATAAATTTGCAATGATTTCTGCTGCTGCTATATGCAACTTTTCAATCGTTAATGGTATTCGAGCACACTTTTTTCGAGAATGTGATGAGCCTCGAAAGGAAAAGCAAACGAAAAATTACCAGTGCTAAAAACGATGTTCTTACAGCCGAGCAATGCGTGAGCATTTGCGTTATTGAGAAAAGTACGACAATATATAGAGTACACTTTTTGCGGATGAAAGCAGAATATTTCGCTATAAAATATATCAGGGCCTCGTTGCGTAGCACAGGCGCCAATGACTTAACTATGACAATATATCGATTTGTAGATACGTCTACATATGTTTCATATAAGATACATATTGTGTACATTGATTATTGTATATTATATATACATACGGCTCTATCGTATTCGTGGAACTTACGCAATTAGCAACTAGATGCGATGCGATATAGCGACAAACAAATTCTTGACAATACAAACTGCTGATTTCGCGAAGCCGGTAGAGCGAAATTCGGTACTATTAGCTTTATTAAGAGATCATGTATGTATTATATATATATATATATATATATATATATATATATAT